AAAACTCAACTATTAAATGTTGTCTGTGTACTCCTGGATTAAACAACTTTGAGTCTCATTCCAAAAAGGTGGGAGTATTACACAATACAAACATTTTTATTTGTATATTTGCAGATATGGGAGAGAGGACTATATTAAATCACTGTCTTGACATGTACTGAAAATAATTTTACTACTTTTTCCTGCAAGAATCAAAATTAAACTATTCATAATTCATATTCAGACAAGTGACACCTGAGCAAGTCTATGTTTCCAGAGGCAAAATTCCATTTAACTGTTAGGTAGCTGCCATTCAGCATCTTCAAAATTAATTTATTTTTAGTTGGCTCAATAAGCAGATTAGGTGTAATTTTCTATTTTTTCTTGAAATTGAAAAACATGCAAGCCAAAAAAGCAATAGAACCAGCACTACTGGCAACACAAAATACATCAATAGGGTCAGACCCTGCTTATAAATGGTTTTAGTGGGGTTCAACATTCAAAATCTACTTCAAATTTGAAGATTATTTTGACTATAATTTCCCTGTCAGCATCATTCCTCTTCCCACATCCATATGCAGGAATCACAGTGCCACCTCTTTTCCCTCAGGATCCTTCATGTTTAGAGGCTGAAACTAATCAGAAAAAGCAACTGGCAAATCTAGGAAGGAATGATCATGTAAGGATCAACGCTTACTTGTGTTTACTTGATGAAAACTTCAATCCTACTGTACCTACTCATGCACAATTTTGTGCTGTGTCTAGAGGATGAGCTCTGTAGGAGACTACAGGTATATAGTTCTGTCACTACCACTAGCTTGATAATTCGCTTGGTAAGAAATGGATTAAATAAAAGTCATCATCTGTACACAGGGTGTCTTCGGGGATTTCAAGCAACAGGCTGAATTATGGTATACGCTGCTAATTCACGAGTCATATCTGTATACATGTTAGCTTCACATCATTAGGTACTACACTGAGTAAATGGTGCAAAAAATTCTCAGTGGCATCATTTCCACAGCAAACTTTTCTAAAATAAATGTCATTTACAATACATATGCAAAGAGATGGAACATAAAAAATTACACTGAATGGTTCAATTGAATTTGCCCAGCATACTCTTGAAAATATTTCATTTCTTCTGTAAACATTTCTTTTTACATTTATGAGAACAAGGTCAACTGAAAGTAGGTAAATGGTAGAAACAGACTTGAGTGCAAGTAAATCTTTTCAGGGGGCGGGGGGAAGTTCAGTGTAGAAAATAAGTTTCTGAAGGTGGAAAACTTTGACAAAGAACTTTGCAAATTGGATATGGCCTTTGTAAGATTGAACCAAACATTCCTATTTACCTTCCTGACTACAGAAACACAATCTCTGAAGCCAAATCAAATCCTTCTTCTTGTAAGGGCCAAAAAAGTAATTCTCAGTTTGGAAGAGAAATTAGCAACTTGGTGACCTCCTACTAATAATGACTGACAGCACATTCATGCTTCAATTCTGGTGATAGCAAATAAAATGCTAAGATAGAAATATTCCACAGAGTTAATCTACGTGACTGGCACCATCCTAAACGTCCTATTTGCCTTAACTAAAGTGGCCACAGCAGCACTGCAAAGCTGTGCCACAGTTGTGTTCTCACTTGTTTCATTACTCAGGATATCTGAATGTTACTCTTACGCTCTCCCAGTGAACTGCAGGATAACCAGTCAGACCTTTGGGCATATGAAAGATGGGATGCATATGGGGAAGGGTAACCATGAGAATGCACCAGCAGACTGCTAGCACTTCATTTTAAAACAATAATTAAAAAAAGGGGTTCTCAGCATGAAAGACAAAAGAATATTGACTGTAGCAAATATCCCTGACTAGTTCGCATCTGGGATGTGACAAGATGTATGTGTGAGGGAAAAGGGGAGTTGTGAGGATCCAAGTGATAATTCAAGAAATCTGCAGCAAGCAACGAACACATAGACAAGTCTATACTGAATATGGGAGCATGCAGGTGCCAGGTGAGCCTGCACCTTTCCCTTCAGAAGGGCATACTATTTGTAAAATACATATGTTTATGCAGATGAGAAAAAAAGAATCATGTTTAGTGGTTTATGTCAGTGGAATGACACATCCCATGACTTTTGCTTGGAGAAAAACTAATGAGAACTGAGTTTCAAGGTGCACAGAACTCAAGTGATTTACACCATTATTTAAAAAGCATGTAAGCAAGAGTCCTCCAGCTTAGAGTCTTTTCTTAAAGCTATCGCTCAGCATTTTACATTAAGATGGCACCTCAATCATTTTGAAGGACATGAACTTCATTCTGCCCGACTTGTTGCCTGTCAAGGAAATCCATTGACTTGTTACTTTTACTTTTTTTGAAGACAGCCATAAGCTAGACATATTAATTGTTTTGTCTTACAGGTAAGTGCAAAACCCATCTCATGCTTACTTATCCTGTAAATGCTTTTCTCAGTCTAAAGCATGGAAGTCATAACTGAGTTAATGTTTCATGAATTCATTCAGTTGTCTATTCTACTTATACTTGGAAGCAAGAGCCAGCTTTCTAGGGCTTCTACAACAGTGACAAGAAAAGCCTGTGTACAGCATTTCATAAAAGTGTAACAGGTTCAATGCTAGGAGATGTAAGCCCTTCACAAAGACTTTTTTAGTAACAAGACAGACAGAATGCTATTACATCTTCTCTGCCAAGTTGATCAGACAAACTACTAGGTCAGAAACCCTACAGAGGGAAGAATGAAACACCAATAGCATCAAAAAAAAGGGACCCATTTCTTGGAAAGAAATTGGAAAAATGGAGAAAAAAAAAAGAAAAAAGGCAAGCAGACTGTAGACTGCTTCTGTAGACTCCAGAAGACAAAAGGCAACAACGCAAAGCATTTTAAGAATGACCATACTGATATATTCAGGGAAAGTATTTGATCAAAATACCCCACATTTCATTGTTTACAATTAGGCAACATTTTTGCTTTTGTTAACTTAAGAAACCTAAAACTAGAAGGCACAGAAAATGAGCAATAAGAAGAACATTTCCTATTTTTACCTTTTTAACCACCCCCATCAGCCCCCAAAGTCCCTGCTGGCATAATTTAGATTTATTACACTTGTGGGTAAAACTTGTCCATTGACAACTGACCTGATATGATTAATATTAAAGCAGTAGCTCATGAAGTTTCCCAGAATACAATCTTGATCTTTTATTTGCAAACACACTAAAGAGCCAACACATTGTCCAGACATGGATACCCTCTTGCACCTAACAAATGCAAACACAAAACACAGCTCAGGCTTCTATTTCAATACAACTATAGTTGTAACAGTTATTTTCTCCAGGAGGATAACAAGGTCTTTCAGACTATACCCACTACTTATTTTTGCTTTGTTTTCAAAGATCCTCTTCAGCAGACTAAATATTCTCACACTAGCTGCCTCCTCTTTCCACCCCAGACCCTACTACGGTCTAACTGTGCCAAATAGGGCTACCCATTTTTGTTACGACTGTTCAAAAACACAAAGATAAGCATTGGCATTTATATTAGTAGACCCACAATATGAAGGCTTGCTTAACATCTCTATCAGTGACCTGGAGGAAGAGACAGAACACACTCTTATTCATGAGGTTTGCGCATGACAATCAACTGGAGAAGGGAAGCAGTCAACACTCAAGAGCAGGGCTGCCACCAGGAGGGACCCAGGCAGTCTGGAGGAAACGGTTAACAACAGCCCCATGGAATACAATCAGGAAAAAACGCCAAATGCCAAGCCCTGTCCCAGCAAGGCAGAGCCCTGCAGCCATGAGGCTAGGGGCTGGGAAATGGCCCTGTGGGGCTGGCCCTGGAAGACAGCAAGCTGAGCCAGGGCCACCTGTGTGCCTGGGCAGCAACAAGGGCCAGCAGTGCCTACAGCCTTTTGAGCAGGTCACAGCCCTGAGAGCCAAGAGAGAGCAGGGACTGTACCCTCTGCTGGGTGCTGGTCAGACCCTGTCTGGATACTGCCTCTGGTTTGGGTTCCCAACACAGAAACACCACCAACAAAATGGGAGGTGAGAGGAGGCCACTGAGACAGTGGGGCTGGAGCCCTTGCCATGCGAGGAAGGACAGCTTTGGGGGCACCCAACAGCGTGCCTGGCACCAATGGGAGGGAATGGAGGAGATGCAGTCAGGCTCTTCACAGTGGCATGTGACAGGAGGGCAACAGGCAGCAGCACAAGCTGACAAATGAGAGGCTCAGGCTGGAGATAAGGAGAAGCCTTTTCCCCATGAAGACAGCCCAGCGAGGTTGGACCACCTTCAGCCAGGGGAGGTTTCACACTCAAGCAAGGAGGGGTGAAGTCCTGAGCAGCCTGGTCTGACCCCATGGCTGAGCCACAAACGGTCCCTGCCAGCATGAATGATTCTGCCATCGTGTGAAACACAGCAGAACAGTTTCCACTAATCAACAAAGTGTAAATGTAAAGGTTTGGCCCTCTCCTTCCTCCAAATGGGCAACATTGCTTTGGGCTTTTTCATATCAATTATTTCTACCAACACGTAAAGAAATCTTGGTAAATTTTGTGGTTCAGACTGTGTAACATATAATATATAAATTTAAGTAGGTTTATTTATACTTAGAGTTTCTAACTTGTTCTACCTTATAACTAGAACCATTTCTCTTGAAGTGAGAGACATTTTATTTACTTATTACTTCCTCCCATCACAGTAGCCCTCCTGTACTTCATCTCTGGAAAATCAACAAGCAACACTTCATGTGAAAGGTCCAAGTTCTGCTTTTGCAGAAGTAAACATGAATTGCTTGGTTGTGAAGACAGATAGCTAATCATGTACGCACATGCTCCTTTGCTCACCCATTCCACTTAAAGACAACAAGCACTGAGCTCTTATATGAAGTTAATCACAAAAACACTTCACTTAGTTTCACTGTCAGGTCAAGTTTTATTATACTAATCATGCACCAGCAATAAGCAGCAACATCTTTATTGTGATGGCTTTTGACATGGGTGCAGGACTCACCCCTCCTGCCTTTAGCAGCTTTCTTCTGAATTCCTCTGTCGGGTTGTTGAATGTGAGCTTTTCACAGCGGAGGTGATTTACAGGTGGGTGGCCTTCAAGGTGCAGGAATAAGTCATAGTCAAATCGAACTTTCTTAGGTTCTTCCTGAGGGTTGAAAATAACCAGATAGAAACATCTAGCACCAAAACTAACTAAGTTGAAAACAAGGGCTACATAAAGACTGTCAATTAAAATGAAAATTATGTCATTTTTAACCATTCCCTGTGTTCTCGGATACATGATGGAATTTACCAAGCGTCAGCCGAGCTACAGTAAATCAGAGAAGCTCCTATTAGCCGATGAAAACACATGGTAAAATGCATGAACCCCATGAACTTCAAGCTGTCCTGACAAGGCTTAATTGAAAGTGTTATGTCATGTTTGGCACAGGCTACAGACATACGCATAGACAAGTATCATGATTCAGCTGACACAAGGTAACTCAGTCACCAACACAATCACACTTCTGAGCTCTAGATAGTACTGAAGACACTGCAGTAAGTTTTGAATGCAAATTCCTCCACTGAAGCCAAACACTACTGTTTTCTTCACAAAGTTGTAGAAAGGGGTAAGAATGAAACCACTGCAGCCAACTATATTTATCTCCTATGGATAGAGTCTGCTCATTTATTAATGAAACTTCATTGCCTTGAACAAGTGTGGCCAGCTAGATTTCAAGTGTTCTACCACAGCTTCCAAGTGATTAAAATTCTCTGCCAGTGCAGTGAAAAAATGAAACTGAATGTTCCCTGTACCAATATGGAGAGAGAAAAAACAGGAAAGGCAAATTTATCTTGGAAGCATTTTTTCAAGGACTTGTCTCAATAGCTAACAACTACAGCCTGCTGCTACTGAATTTGGGAGGGAGGTTTGTTTGTCATTTCCCTAATTCTTTAAAGCTTAGAATATTTTCCATCGGGGTGAAATGCCTATTAGATTTTCTAGCAATTTCTACCTGAGAAAGCCTCAGCTGAAAAAGGACACTAGTGGCATTGAATAGACAGACTTCAATTTATAACACCAGAGAAAAGATACTAATTATAATTTGTGTTATATATTTACACAGTCCCTTCTAGAAACTGTATATGTTAGGTGCTCTTTTAAGGCAGTATTAAGTAGCCCTTTCTCCAAAGGTCCTGATGTGCAACAGAAGCCACCAAACCAATGTCAGTCTTAAGGCAGAACACAAGTAAAAGGCCACATTCAGGAAAAGCTTTAGTAAAAAGGGAACCATGAGGGAAGAAGAGGAAGAGTTACAGCAAAATCTTAGCACATATCCAACACTGCATGTAATCAGAATGTGTGCTCTGTTCCGTGACAGATGCTTAAAAAAAATCACATTAAAAAATGTTTCATTTTGATTTAGGATTCCAAAGATGTGAAAAACAGAAAGCATAGAAACGTCAGTTATTCTAAAAGTTAAATCAGAGGTTTCAAACACAGCCAAGGGACATCCTTATTGTCCCACCTCTAGACTTGGAGCAGAGACAACAGAAGGGGACCTGAAATAAAAGGCCTGCAGTAGTCTGTTTCCGAGGACAGAATAGAGTAGTTCCCTTAGATGAACTATTTTCTTGACAGACCATTTTCAAAGGTAACCACGGATGAAGATATTTCTTACTGATAGAAATATTAGCACATGCTTTTCTTGTGGAAAAAAAATGGAAGTGTTTTACTCCCCGGTCTGCTTAGAAAACTGTGACATTGCTACAGGCTAACAGTTGGTACCAGCAACGTTGCCATACAAGCAAAGTTATAAGAAGTTATAAATGGGAGTCTGAAAAGAATTCTGTGGAAAGTTAGATGAACATAACCAGTGATTTCAAACCAGACTTTTACTACACAAAGGACTTCCCATACCACTGCCATTATTTCAAATCGGTGTGACAGTAAAGGCAGAATATACTGCAGTTTATGAGCCTTATCCTAAATGGACTGCATTTTCCAGAGTAAAAGTCTTCTGACCTAAAAGCATTTTTTCAAAGACTTAGTCTCAAAGGCTAACAACTATAGCCTGCTGCTGCTGAATTGGGGGGAGGGGGGGTTGGGGAGGGTTAGTCTGTCATTTCCTTAATTCTTTAAAGCTTGGAATATTTTCTGCTGGGGTGAAATGCCTGTTAGATTTTCCACCAATTTCTGCTTAGTCCTGGGAACAGGCGCTCTTTAATTCTCCATGGTCCAGGTGGCTTCCTGTACCCATGCCTCCTCTATTCATTAGGGTACTTTCTGAACCAGAAATTGAAAAGTTGTCTACCTTGAATAACTGATGATGGTCTGTCTCCTCTTCCTCCTTCTGTCTATCTCCTCTTTTTCTGTACTGGAATACCTGTGAAATGACTTAGGGGAGGAAGAGTAGCTGTGCCAGGAGAAAGCAGTAATTTGCCTCAGGAATGCCCGCTCAATTTTTGTGCCACTTATCCTTTGTACTGTACTGACCCCAGGGAAGGGCATGCTGCTGCAGCTATGTGAACAGCTAGCTGACTCACAGTCCAACTGCTGCTTGTTGTATTCCATGACACCAAAATAGGGGTGAGGGATGTTTGCAAACTTCCTAATTCCACATGCTGCTTGAGGGTGAGGTGAGTTGTAATCACTGCTGCCCTCTTGATCTCAAGTCTAAGCCACAACTCCTGCTGGAGAAATCCTGAGATTTGCAGGTCTCCACAGTCAAAGGCAGCCAAAAGTCTGAGTGGAAAACAAAAAAACAAATGTCGGGCAGGAAGCTTTCTGCCGAGATGCTTCAATGATTGTCTCACTCTTTTGACTTTGCCCAGTTTTGGGATGAGCTCTTAACAGAGTTACAGAGAATGGGCTGCTTTTCATTAGATTTCCTGAATGAATCAAAACCACTTCCCTAAGGGAGACAGAGCTAAAAAGCATACCAAAAAAAGCCAGTCAACTCACTGCAGCAGCTCTGTTTCCTTTTCCAACAGCACACAGGGTAGACTAAACACTGCTCTTCACAGATTGATACAGGGAACATTTCAGAATTACCTGTTCGAAACCTACAACTTACAAAGTGCCTGAGCAGAATTATCCACACCTCACACCTTGACAGAGCTTTCTGTGAAAGACAAAAGAGTACTGGAATATCTACCTGAAAGCATACACAGCTAACAGAGTTGTACTCTAACACAAATTTTAAGTGACAAGTGTACCAGCAAAAGTCTTTTACTAAGCATTTCTATTTTCTTTTGGTTTTAGTTTTTCACCAAGCATTCAACACATTGAAGATGTAACACTGACTTGATTAAAATAATTATGTTAAACTACATCTTGGTATAAAAACCAAACACACAGGTATCTTGGAAGTGCATACAAAGTATAATAATAGCTTCATGGAGGCACATGACATACAAAAGGAACCTAAAATATTGCAGTTAAGGTACTGCATATTAAACCTTGCAAGCATTTTGCTCTTTAATTCCACACCCAAATCCAATTCTTTTTATCTGAATGACTTACTAGTAATACAGACCCTGTTACGTACATTAAAAGAAATCTCTGTATTTGCTATGTAAAACACCCACAGTAAGTGCAGCATTTACTTAGATTCAGAGTTTGAGATACCACAATAATGCAAGCTTTGTAGAACACCACTGGGTTTGTTTTTAAACTGTGCTCCCTCGTACTGTTGAGTCCAGTAGAATCAATGTTCACAGGCAGTCTAAAAGAATTTTTTTTTAAACTGAGGATGCGGGATTCAAAAAAAAAAAGACTATTTTGAAAGATCAAAAACTGAACAAATTAAAAATATTGGCCATACTAACACAGAACAATGAGTTCGTTATGAAATAAACATAAGATTGGTTCCTTTCTTAAAGTTTAAGTGGCTCTTGAACTTCCTTAAGCATTATTTAAAGTCTGTCCACTTCTGAGTAGGGCTAGTAATTCTTCCGAATAGTTACATTCAACTTCTTAATTTTATTAGGTAATCCTAATTTCAGAGAGTTATGTAGTAAACACAATTATGCATTTCTAAAAGTTACAGTGACTTTGAGTTGAGGAACAGCACTGACAAAGATAGCTTTAAACCTTATTTTTAACTGAGTTTACAAATTAAACTGTAAATCTTTAAAAAAACTGACTTCCACGTGATTTTTTTTTTTTTAAGGAAAAGTATGTGATTCCATACCTTGTTTTTGAAGTAAACCTCAATTGGTAAAATGAAACCAGCATACCCGGATTCTTCAACTTTGTAGGGTGGATCCTTGCACACTGAAGCAAAGAAAAAAACATGTATTTAACACAAAAAAGGACTATTTTAAATGCACAAGCAAGACACATGCACAAATAATCTGGGGCAATAGTTCCATGGCAGCACCATTCATTACAAAACTGCACACACACAGTAGGACATATCCGTGCACAACTCAACGTGAATTTTGCAAGCAAATCATTCCTGCCCATATATAACATATAGTTTAGGGAAAGCAATTTTTTTTTTTTTCCTTTTTCAATCCTTTCAGACTGCTAAAGCAGAACCACCAGGGACTTCAACACCAGGTGGACCCACTGAATATCCACAAGGGCTACATAAGCACTGGAGCCAAGGCTTGTTCTGGGCATGAAAAATATATAGGATTCCACCCTGAGGAAGTTAAACTTGTAGAGGGCAGAAGAACTGGTAGAATTCATGTATTCATAACCTAATACTAATAAAATCCTAATTCTAATAAATGTAATTTAAAATAAATTAATTAAATTAGAACTAATGCTAATAAAAGTGAAATCTGTATTACTGGGGGAAGAGGGAACACAACACAACATTCCAGTACATAGTGGAGATCCTCAGGAAGGTTAACTATTGTATTATGTTAAAACAGCATCCACATTTACCCTGCAGGATTCAGACTTCTTCAACATGACAGTGAGTATTACTAGCTGAAATATACAATCTCTTCCTTCAAGTTTTCATTTTAATTCAAGAGCTTTTAGTTACATGAAATCCCCATAGTATTGAACATGTGCTCTCTGAAGAAAGTGGCACTAGCCTGTCAACTCCAGACAGTGACGAAAAGCAGTTTGTTACAGAACTTGGAACAGAAGCTACCTCTTTCTTCTCCTGTTTAGCTGTGTGACAACCTCATTACAGAATTCATACCCACATAACACATAGGCACAAAGGTAGGCTGAGCTTGAGAAACCATGCATCTCCTGCAGCTTCAGCTCAGATGCTGCCAAATCCTGCACTGATATGTATGACAACTCATATATGCACTACCATCTCCATGACATCACAGCACAGTGACAGTTTCTCTACTGTAGACTGATAGAATGATGCAATTCATACACAAAGGGTTGACTTCTTCAGAAACATTTACTCAAGCCCTATCAACCTTGCTGACTGAAAAGAAAATTCAAACTCCCAGATGGATCATCATTTGCAAAGATGTATGCTCTTTTCAGAATTGCCTGGTACCTGTTCACTGCACTGTATCAGGTGCAACTTAAACTATACTTTACAAAAAGTGTGTCTTGCAATCAACTATGCTGGGCTTGAACACCAAAATTATTCTTTTTAGCGAGCACCACAGATGGGCACTTACCACCCTCTAGCATCCTGAAAACATGACAAGGCCCATTAGACACATCCAGGAATATAACGACTGCTTCATTCTTAATATACAATCACTTCGTCAGCTTTCTGAGGACACGCAAACGTGGTTAACACCCAAACAGATGAACACAGGAGAATTTTCTCCTACTACCTTGCTATTCTCGTCCTGCTCTACTAGCACCAAACCCACACAGGGACTTCAAGGATGAGGAAGATTCCAAGTCCTTGCTCACATGCTGCAGCTGGCTATCCCTACCCAGTTCACTTTGTGCAAACAATGGAAAGGGAAAAAGATTACAAAACCGGAGCAAGAATAATCTCTTTTCCAGACTCCTCTGCAACACTGTCCTCTTGCAGCTACAGAATTTAGTTTGTTTTTATTGGCAGGAAAAAGGAGGACCTATAGTTTATAAAGTGGGATTTGAAAGATTTTGAAGAAAAGTGTTACAATGATAGGTCATATGTGAGAGGTGGTTTCAGACATACAAAGCTTTTAAGTTGGAAACTGAGCGTTTTGTGCTAGAACGTCCCAGAAGTAATTTCACCTTATAGTGACATGTCTTCCCTGAATAGAGCTTACCAGTATTTGAAAAATGTAAATGTAATAGTCCTAGTTAAGCACAGTGACAGGTTACAGTAATACATACTGACCACTTCTTCAGTCAATGAAAAAAGGAGCCTTCCTGCTCCTTCTCTGCCTTCAGAAGACAACTTGAGGAGAAAGCCTTCCCAGTGTTATTTCAATGGCCATGCAGGGTTCAAAAGACTGAAATCCACTTATATAAAAACATGGAAAGATTATACAGCAGATATTTATCCAGATGGAAACATAGAAACTCCAGAAACTGTAATAATACATTAACTGTTAAAAGATATTTCAGGCTCCATTATGTGACAAGTCACAATTCCCCCCCCTAATAAGTATCATGTCAACTTCTTCCTGACTACTTAATTGGTGCAGAAAACACTGTCAGCATAAATATTTTTCATTCTCTCCCTTAAATCTCTCTTCTTTGATTTACACAGCTGTTAGCCATG